AGCCTCGTTTCTGAGAAGTCCTATCGTAAAGTACGGTGGTCGGAAACTTCGCTCCAGCATCCAGAGGAGATATAAGATCCAAACAGATAAGTCAGAGTGACCCGTATGACGGATTAAATCTAAAGGGACCTTTCCAATCCATCAGATTCCTCAGACATGATGATACTGGACAGAAACGTAGAGTAGGAGGAAGATACTCGCACTAACTTTGTCCTTGAAAGTATTCAATATTCTTTCAGTTAATTCTTCAAGTTATTTTTCTTCAGCTTGGTTACGGGGAACCTATTACATAGATTCTCGAGTTCATCTGCCTTCTAGTTCTTAGGAGAGTTTTGTCTAATTGGAGTTCCTTGTGGCATTTATAAACGTAGTCTTGTCTTATCGTATTCACTGTTGATTATTTGTTCAACTGGATTTACATTAATCCAGTCTGGGGGCAAACAGTGGTGAGGACGTCTGGCCGAGAGGTACCCAAGTGTTCATAATAACCCTGTGGAGTCAGAGCTCGTGTCACCTCATCCCTGAGACAGGTTGAATGGAAAGTTTGAACCGAGGGTTAGGCCTCTAGACGAACGAGAGCCACCATTCAAAACACTCCTGTCTCAGAGCACCTGAGGGATTTGTGAAAATATCCTGTAAGTAAGGTGCGCGACAAAACTGCCATACGACAGTGGCACTCCCTTGGGAGCGCAAGGAGGCTTCAAGGGGGAGTCAAATAATTTTGAAAGTGAGTGGCACATGTGAGAACTGCACCGATGTTTGAAGATATTATGTTGACAGTGTTTTTTCCTGACACTTAAGGCTGCCGGCACATAAACTTGAAACATATTGTTCGAGTTGGGAGGATGCCAAGAAACCAGTCGGCAAAGCCATTGATGATGATGCTGATGATTTCGACACAACACTTTTCATGGAAACGGTGCTTATGCGTAAAGAAAAAAGTTGATCCGTAAAACGGTAGAACAGGAGGGCGCACATAGCTCAAGTTCTAGAACAAGACTAAAGTCCAGAAGTGGACGAACAACCAGAACTTTTCACAGGGGTTGACAGCCGGTGAGCGGGAAGAAGCAAAAGACGAAGAAAGTACTCGAGTTGGATGTGGGATGCTCGTGTGTATCATCACCTGATTTGGGTGCTCACCTGGAGGCCTGGACAATTTAGAAAGGAACGACGTTTCCTTCGACGTCGTACCATGGTCCCCACCAGAAGAACCGATCCGAACGCCAAAACCTGACGGCAAACACGGCCGACACCGTCACCACAAAAACTAATACCAGAGACGCACCGCCAGCACCAAACATCTTGAATCCTCATGAAAGCAGCGCCAGACATCCAAGGTAGAAGAAGAACACCGAAACAACACCAGATCCTACCATAACGCGTTTCTAGCCTCCCAAAGCAAGAAACTGCTAGTCCTTCTTAGGATAAGCAGACTCCCTTTTTGGATACACCAACAAGCCAATCAAAACCACCCTAAACCGCCATGAGCAGGCAACCTAACGATCCGGAATGCAGCACACGGCCAGCCAGATACGACAACAGCCAATCGACACCAAAAAAAAAAAAAAAATTACCACAATAAACACCTAGCGACAAAATCCTGACAGTACAATGCAAAACTAGATGAGAGAAGACAAGAATCTTCTTCTTTATCTTCTTCTTCACTTCGTCTTTTACCGCTGTGGGTGTCGAGGGAGAAATAAGGTTCTGTTTCTAGCTCTTCTGGCTGCCTCGACCATAGGCACATCGTGCTGTTGTAGAGTTTCTCTGATGTTATCCTTCCATCTTGTTCTTGGTCTACCCCGTGCTCTACGTCCTTCTTCTCTTTCCATGTATGCTTTGTATGGTATGGTGTCACAAGGCATTCTCTCTAAGTGGGCAAACCATTTCACTTGCTGTCTTTGTATGTAATCCATAATTGGTTCTGTGCCGACTTGTTCTCTTATGATCTCATTCCTGATCTTATCTCTTATGGTCACTCCTACAGCCCTTCTCAAACATCTCATTTCCGTGGTTACTAATTTTCTTTTATGGTTTGTTGTGAGTGATCATGTCTGGCACTGGTAGCACAGAGTTGGAATAAATATGCTTTGAATAAGATGTCTCTTTGTGCTGATTGGGATTGTCTTATGCTGTAAGAGGGGGGCTAGCTGTCCCAATACTTGGTTTGCTTTACTGCATCTAATGTTAATTTCTTTATCCAATTTCCCATCTTCGGTAAATGTAGTTCCCAGATATTTAAACTCAGATGCCCGTTTAATGCCTTTGTATTCTATTGCTATGTTTAGATCTGTCTTCTTTTTTTCTATTGACATTACTTCTGTCTTTTCAGTGTTGATTCTCATATTATTTTTTTTACATTCTTCATTCATGGATGTTTAATGTTGTTGCAATTTCATGGCTGTATCTGCTATCAAGGCCTGGTCATCTGCAAAGAGTAATTCGTTGATCTTACTAAGATCTTCATTCATGGGCCAAGAATCACAAACAAATATAGCGGACAGGGCCGAGAACAGCAGTGTCTTCTGTCCCTTAGCTGAAAGTGGTCACAGTTAAAGGATTGATTGATTGATTGATTGATTGATTGAAGTCGGAGTACACCTGTCGGAGAAATCAACATTCAATTCAGCACATACAGATCAAGATCTGTAAAACTCAAGTCCTGCAGGAAGAACAATGCCCCGAAGTGGTGAACACAATGAAAGAAGAATGTGCTCAAGTTTTGACCGGGGGAAGGGAGTATCCACACAAACCTTCCGCATGCATAAGTAGTAACCAGAGCTCAGGAGGTTTGAACTTGAAGACACGGGGAATGTTTTGAGATTCTGGGTGCAAGATCTATGGAAGTCAGGCTTGAGGACTCGTGGAGATGTCGGCGTGCAGTGAAGGTGGCAGGCACACTTCACACACTTCGAATGTCCACTTGACACACGTTCTTAAGGTGCAGAACATCCGCCTTTTAAGAGCTCATCTCTCAGGAACAGAAAAAAACATTGCAAGCTCAGTTCCCTGTGTGAGATTCGGGGCCTCTTTTTTGTGCGGGTGACGAGGAGGAGAATAGACCCACAGTACATTGAAAGCTTGTCGTAAAATTCGTTTAATTAAGGTCGTATCCTTTGATGTCATTGCATCAGCCTGAAAGGCAGGCAACCAATAGTCTACACATAGAAAACCCACACCTGTAAAACGGATATGCAAGAAATACTCAAGTTCTGAAACAAAACCAAAGTCAGGAGTGGACGAAAATAAAGAACTTTCCACTGGAATTCAAAACAGTGAACTGGAAAGAGGAGGAGGAGACGATAAAGAAAAAGAAGTAAAAGAAGAAGAAAAAGAAGAAGAAGAAGAAGAAGAAGAAGAAGAAGAAGAAGAAGAAGAAGAAGAAAAGAAGAAGAAGAAGAAGAAGAAGAAGAAGAAGAAGAAGAAGAAGAAGAAGAAGAAGAAGAAGAAGAAGAAGAAGAAGAAGAAGAAGAAGAAGAAGAAGAAGAAGAAGAAGAAGAAGAAGAAGAAGAAGAAGAAGAAGAAGAAGAAGAAGAAGAAAAAAGAAGAAGAAAGAAAAAAAAAAGAAGCAACTTTAGGGAACTCTGGTTAAAGTAGTAGACAAACAAGAACTAATGCTGCATTTTTCTATAACTGATCCTTCATTTGTAACCTTACAACAACTAATTCTACAGATGTAATAATGCAATAACTAATTCCACATATGTAACGATGCGAGAACTAATTCTACATATGTAACGATGGTAGAACTAATGCCACTGTCATATGACAGCACAACATCCCTCTGGTTTTAGACCTGCCCACATCTTGTACTCCTCTATGTAAATGAGCTATGTTCAAATTTAAAACTGTTCTTCATTAGTATATAGTCCTTCTTTGATAAGTATGGGTCCAGATGTCGGGATAAGTACTCAGTTGGTTCCTAATTCTATGGGGATTGAGTTATGTTATGAATTCACTCTTAGGTAAATGATTTCTAAGAGTAGCAACCCATTTTTCCATCGGCCGAACTGCCGCCTGTTCGGGGAAGGAATCCTGCTTCTCATTTGGACATGACTGAACAGGTCCCAAATTCAAACAACATTCATGGCTCAGTTTTCACAGCATTCACTGATTTCTAACAGAGTCTGTGCACCGTGCTGAGCTTCTTCGGATTACGACTTGAGTTGGAAGAAAAACGGAGCACTTATGGGTTACTACCCGTGTGCCATGATGTTGGTCCGTTGTTCAAACTTCATACTTCTAACTTCTCCAGAGCATACTGACGGGTTTCACCCTTGTCTTGAAAGTCTATCAGCTCCTTTTTTGAAAGTCTCCAGTTCACCCGGAAACTTCCAATAAGCATGGTTAAGTACATTGTAGATAAATATTATTAATACTCTGACCTGCTGCTGAGTGTAAGACGGGTGTAACTATATGAAGGCACAAGGACGTCCGAGGATTTAAACTACAGGAACGCGCGAATGCAGGCCGATTGGAAGGGGGGGGGGGGGGGGGAAGATATTTTTATATTCCCTCAATGGATGGTCCAGATTCATTAGTGTGCTATATTTTGACTATGACAGGTTTGCTATCTAGTCTGAGCGCTTCTAAGTGGTGAGGAAGTCAGGCAAAGTTATGCCCAGGTATATTTATTATTGCAGTGGGAATCATGACTTGAGTCGCCTCACCTCCAATGTGATGTTGGATAGTCTTTGAAGCTACGGAGTACCTTCTAGACCAATGCGAGCCACCATCTAACATTAAGTCACTTTAGAGTGTCTTTGTTTACAAGGGGAAACCCTAATAAAGACATGCGACAACCGCGTCATGTGACGGCCACATTTGTAACGATGCAAGAATTATTGCTACTGGATCCTGCGTGTATCATGGGAAACAACCTTGTTTGCAACACGAATGTTTAAAAAATAAAATAATTACAACATAAACCATTCCCTGGGACAGACAGATGGATTAACAGACAGACAGACAACAAGAAGAAAACACACAGTTTGACTTACTAAACTTCCCTGTAGATAAGATATGCGGATGTTGCCAGTGTGACGGCCGCAAATGAAAACGTTAGTATGATCTGAAATTTGAGAGACAACTGTCACATGATGCTAAAACACATACGCACGCACGTACTTACGCATATATATATATATATATATAAATATATGAGAGAGAGAGAGAGAGAGAGAGAGAGAGAGAGAGAGAGAGAGAGAGAGAGAGAGAGAGAGAGAGAGAGAGAGAGAGAGAAAGAGAGAGAATTTTGTCGCAGTTATAGCACATAGTTATCAGTCTATTCCTCTATACTGTTCTTTTCTGTGAAGTGCTTTCGATGGAACCCAGTCAGACCCCAGTTGTTCCTCTTAGCAAAATTCCATCTAGGGATTTTCCCGGAAGTGCACGTTTTCCAAATCCTGGGGTTTGCCAGGTCAATGCCCTTTTGGTGATTCTCTGGTTGTTTTGTTTTTCAAGACGTGTCTAAAATAACGTCAAAACGCAAAGAAAGGGACAGCAATTACTGTCATCTACTGACATAATATGTTTTGATGTTTTTGAATGTGAAATACAGGGACAGACAGAAACATGCAAGCAGATACACACATAGATGAACAGACCGACCGTCCGACCGACCGTCCGAACGACCGACAGACGGACGGACAGACAGACAGACAGACAGACAGACAGACAGACAGACAGACAGACAGACAGACAGACAGACAGACAGACAGACAGACAGACAGACAGACAGACAGACAGACAGACAGACAGACAGACAGATAGACAGACAGACAGACAGACAGCTAGCTAGCTAGCTAGATAGATAGATAGATAGATAGATAGATAGATAGATAGATATATAGATAGATAGATAGATAGATAGATAGATAGATAGATAGATAGATAGATAGATAGATAGATAGATAGATAGATAGATAGATAGATAGATAGATAGATAGATAGATAGATAGATAGATAGATAGATAGATAGATAGATAGATAGATAGATAGATAGATAGATAGATAGATAGATAGATAGATAGATAGATAGATAGATAGATAGATAGATAGATAGATAGATAGATAGATAGATAGATAGATAGATAGATAGATAGATAGATAGATAGATAGATAGATAGATAGATAGATAGATAGATAAGATAGATTAGATAGATAGATAGATAGATAGATAGATAGATAGATAGATAGATAGATAGATAGATAGATAGATAGATAGATAGATAGATAGATAGATAGATAGATAGATAGATAGGTAGATAGAACGAACGAACGAACGAACGAACTTTATTTTTAAAGGGTCACAAATTGGGCACGCAGGCCCGTCTTACATTCGGCCCTTCCAGTCAACCATCTTTCACACAGCAATTGTATTTTACTAATAAAGCATGGTATGATCATATGATGATATGCATATTATGAATATTATAAAAGAACACAAAAGCATGAGTTGTAAAGTGCATGCAAAAACCCGCGCGTGCATACATACACCCACATACACTCGCTCATCCACTCACTTACACACACATACATGCATACATTGCATACATACACACATACAGGCATACATACATACATACATACATACAAACAAACATGCATACACACATACACACAGGCATACATACACACAAAGATACATACAAAGATTCCAACATACAGGCATACATACATACATTCATACATACATAATACAGGCATACACACATACAAACATACAGTCATAAATACAGTCATGCATGGAGACACACACATGCACACACGGACACTCCCACAGAGACACACACACTCAGACAAAAATACAGACACACACACACAGACACTTACATATAAACACACACAGCACACATATTTACATTCGTGCTCACACACTGACACACACACCACACACACACACATACGCAGGCAAACATGCAGACATATACATACAGCCACATAGACACACACGCAGTCAAACACACACACACACACACACAGACAAACAGGCAGACAAACCTATACTGACACCCACAGAGACAAACACGCAGAAGTGCATACACATGCAAACACATAGAAATACACATCTATAGATAGATAGATAGATAGATAGATAGATAGATAGATAGATAGATAGATAGATAGATAGATAGATAGATAGATAGATAGATAGATAGATAGATAGATAGATAGATAGATAGATAGATAGATAGATAGATAGATAGATAGATAGATAGATAGATAGATAGATAGATAGATAGATAGATAGATAGATAGATAGATAGATAGATAGATAGATAGATAGATAGATAGATAGATAGATAGATAGATAGATAGATAGATAGATAGATAGATAGATAGATAGATAGATAGATAGATAGATAGATAGATAGATAGATAGATAGATAGATAGATAGATAGATAGATAGATAGATAGATAGATAGATAGATAGATAGATAGATAGATAGATAGATAGATAGATAGATAGATAGATAGATAGATAGATAGATAGATAGATAGATAGATAGATAGATAGATAGATAGATAGATAGATAGATAGATAGATAGATAGATAGATAGATAGATAGATAGATAGATAGATAGATAGATAGATAGATAGATAGATAGATAGATAGATAGATAGATAGATAGATAGATAGTCATGTCCACTTACCCATCTCCGTTTTACCAAGAAATCTTGTATGATCATCACAACTTTCAGTTTCTACGGAGACACCCACTTAGTAAAATTTGTCTAATTACGTAAAATTCGCTTCTCAGTAAACAGGTTTCGAAGACTGTGATCGATGATCTATAGATAGATCAAGTTCTACAATAACTAGAGCGACCGCTAACTGAAATATGTTATGAGTGTATACTGAGAAAATCAACACAATCGTCGATTTACAAATACTTGTTATGAAACTAAGAAGAAGCTGCACTACTTATGGAATGTCGACAAACTGTTGACTAATTAACAGGTTCTTGATGTGACTGCTGAATTAATTGATACTTTTTATGTTTGTTCTCTAACTAACCAGCTGATCCCTACAGCAGGGTAGGAGCAAGGACTCCGGATTCTGGCAAACATCCTTTAGTGATATCCCATTTTATAAGTTGTGTCCGCTGCTCTTCCGGGTTGAGACGTTGAGTATGTGGAAAACAACTAATTGTCGGTCGGTCTAAGGTTTGGCCCAGACACTCAACTAAAAACAATTCGATGGTTCTCATGATTTTAGAAGAAGTAACTGTACCTAGTGATTATATTCGATTTCAGAATTAGGGAACCCCAACCACGTTCAGCCTGCTAGGTACAGCCTTGGTTGTAGATGTGGTCAAGTTTTCTGTGTACCACGTTTAGTGGCTTTTATGGTGAGTACTAGCTGCGTGTGTGTCCTCCTAGTCATTGCTGTGTGGCATTGGTAATCAAGTCAGTCCTCAGCCTTCTGGCTCGTCTACTGTCAATCATTTTTGATGCTAATGATCCTCTTTGTCGGAACGCTGAACTGTTCAACCGGGGCTGTCGGCAGTAAAGGCTTTGGTGTTAATTTAGTGACGTCACGTCCTTAGTCGAACTCATAATCGATTTCACATATGTTTCAGTGTGTGTTTGATTGGATTTTTCTTATTACAAAGTAATATTTATAGGTTTTTTATAGTGGTTTCATCTTCACTTCTGATTCACTTCTAATTGGTGTTTCAGGGAGTACATTTAGTAAGGTATTTGTGTGCTTCGCTTTAGGTTTATCTCCAGTGTGTGGGGTTATGTGGAAATATGTCTGCCAAATGTTCTGTATCTGATTGTCCCTCGAGAGTTCAGACCTTTTTATTAGATATGTGAGTGTGTTTAGATTTCTTTCGGATTCTCTTTTAAGAGACAAATGGCAGAAAAACATTCAACGAACAAATTGGGCTCCTGTGAAAACTAGTGTAGTATGTGTGAAACATTTTCGTGAATATACAGGCAAATCTGGAATTCAGCATATGCTCACAAGAAAGAATCTTGCTTAAAAAAATATGCTTATCCAACTTTCTGTACAGATCTTCTATCCTTTTTATCGGCGAAAGTACCAGCCTCTCGCAAAACTCCAGAGGAACGTGTATCACATATTAATCGCAATTGTAGTCAAAAAGTAAATGAATGGCTGTCCTCAGATATCAATACAGATTTCCAAGATCTTGAGTCACAGATAGGAAACAAACTGAAAAGACAGTTTGAAAAAAAAAAAAACTAAACTGGAAATACACTTCTGTAGATGGAGCTTTAACATGTACTGTTTTGTATGTCATTACCATACTGTCAGACTCTGCACCATCCATAGGTGTCAGCATAAATATGTTACTTGATATGACTATACAAGTCTTTGTTTAAAATGAAAAGGTTGGAGACAGAGACTTTGAATAGATTGTAGACAACAATAAACTTGTGAGATGGTCACAGCCCGAAAATCTTGTAATTCATTACAATGCCTGGGATTATAGTAAAATTCAGTGCCAAAATAGCTTCTTAGATGTAGTGGAAGAAGCAGGAAGTATTTTAAAGAGTTCTGCAGAGCAACAGTGGACTCCTAATGGGACAGCTGATGAAGTAACTGACACACAAGTAAACTTTCTTGCAGAGCAGCTGCAACTTTTAACCGTGTTAAAAAACAGAAGGCGTTAGTTGTAGCACATTATGTTTCGCTTTCATGCTGTTCATTAAATCTCCAGCATGCTACCGGTTTATAAGAACATCTCGTATGTTGTGCCTGCCTCATCAAAGAACACTGCACAATTTAACTCCACAGTTGTCATTGTCTACTCATACTGGCAGCATCTCACAGTACTTGAAATTGAAACAAGACAAACTGACAGAGCTAGAAAAGATTGTAGTGGTTCAGATGGATGAAATATATGTTAAATCTGCAATTACTTACTCTGGGGGCAAAATATTTGGCAATGCATACAATGCAAAAGAAGCAGCAACAACAGTGCAGGCTTTCCTCGTATCTTCAGTTTTTGGAAGCTACCAGGAAATTATAGAACTTTCACCTGTGAACATAATGACATCTCAGGATCTACGTTTGAAATTACTCAACTGTATCCACTTTGTACAGGAGTGTGGTTTCACAGTAGTTGCTGTAATTGCAGATAATAGTGCTGTCAATCGCAGAGTTTACCGTGATCTCCTGAAACCAAGCCAAACTTTTTTTGAGAACCCAGATTTTGCTAATAAAAAAATATTTTTACTGCATGATTCTGTGCACTTGCAAAAATGCATGTGGAGGAACTGGATCAACCAGAAGGACACAAACCAGACATTTACTTATCCTTTAATAACTGGACAAATGCTAAACGCCTGTAATACTGATAGAGTTGCAGAAGCGAACTTTTCTCATTTAAAAAATTATTATAATGAGAATGTTGAATGTAGAATTAGGAATCGACATCACAGCACTCGGGACAATCCAATAAGCGCTCCGTCCCAATCTTCAGCAGCAAGCAAAGAGCTAAAATTTCGATGGTACCAGTAAAAATCTGATTGTATATCCGTCTCGCCCCTCACCCGAGTGTGGAGCGTCGGCCAGATCCCCTTGTGACTCCTCGCAGTGCAATTCTCCTCAGACCGTAATGTTCCATCTGTTCCTCGGCATTATTCACTCGTAAAATGAGAAAAAAGAATATTACAAAACTGGTACCCAAAGCCTCCGCATGACAGACATCAATGTTTAATGAATACAATGTTGCTGCTCTGCGTCTAGTGGGCAGTCATGAAACAGCAGATTTGATTGAAGCCATCCTTAGATGGTGGCATATTGTTAATGTGAAAAGTAAATTTGTAGGTAAAAAGAGACTGAACTCATTCTCAAATCCTGTATTGTCAAATGATGATGAACAAGTGCATTATCTTGAACAGTTTGCTGAATGGCTAAGAAAGTGGGACAAGCTGACTGGCTGTCAAGAAAAACTGACCAAGCAAACACAGTGCTCTGCTGCATACAGTGACTGAAGCGCTTTCTCTAATCAAATATCTGTTTGCAACCACAGAAGCCAGTTTTATACTTCTTGGAAAGTTACAGACTGACAACTTAGAAGCTTGGTTTGGTGAATATCGGCAGTTGTCAGGAGCAAACTGCTTCCCAGTAAATGACTGTTGTTGTTGTTGGTGTCGTCGTTGTCGTTGTTGGCAACGTTCTGTCTTTTCAATTGATATAGTGTTATATTTGTGATATAGGCCAGACTTGAAACTCACAGCCCGTGTATTTAATGTGTTCCTTCTCAGATGTTCAGCTCTTCAGCTGTCTGCAGAACAAGATGAGCTGATGTTCCTCCACACCACAAAAGAACTTTACTGAATCTATAATCAAAATAAAATTTTAAAAAAATTTTGAAAAAAAAAAACTTCATAGGTATGAAAGGAATTTGATATAGTCATAGTTTTTAAAATTAAAAGTCTTTTTAATTTAATGAGTGAAATTATTCAAATTACATAAAAGAAAACCTTACGGTTCAAAACTCAGCTAACTTCTTTTGCATCTGAGTCATCGATGTTTTTTAGGCGTACGGGCTTTCCCCGTCAGCTAATAAAAACGCGACATCAGATAATTATGTATATGTGTGTGTATCTGAACAGTATATGTAGAGCATCTGGGTGAGAGTGGACATCGCAACAGTCAGGACAAGCCCATGTTTGCTGTGTCGCCCTCCTGCCAGCGAAGAACCTAAACACTGATGGTACTCGCTGTCATCTTGTTAACTACTCGTCTGTCCTCTTCCAAGAGAGCCCCCCCCCCCCCCTCTTCCCGAGCCCACAGGCCCTCCCTGCCCCAAAACTCTCCATGTCGTGTGTTCAGTAGCTGCCCTTTACTGGTGACCTTGCCTCACAGACGAGAGATATCTTTGCCTTGTGCAGTTGCAGTACACCCCCTATTGCTATTTGTCCAGGTAACCTATCGGCATGCTTATTCACAAACACACCTGAATAGCAAGGGCAAACTATCCATGAGACTCCCAACAAATGAACTCACAGAGCAGAAACACGAGAACCGCTGATGGTTGCTGTATCCGTGAGTGTAGGAGGATTTCCGACAGCAGTACCGAGAACTCGCGACCACGAAACTCCGATGCAACAACATCTGTTGCTAAGGGAAACCATCTTAGAACTTGAGATTTGCCTGCATATCCGTTTTACAGATCTAGCTTATTTGTATGCAGACTTTCGGTTTCTTGCCTTTCATGAAGATGGACTCCAACTTTGTAGAAAACAGCTTGAGTTAGTCGCCTCGTTCGACATGCTTGATAGGGAGTCAGCAGGACTGTTCTTTGTTGTCAGATAAAATGCCACAAAACCACACGGAAAACAATGCGTTCAAAATACGGGTTAGTCTGCTGTCGGTCCTGTCTGTCTGTCTGTCTGTCTGTCTGTCTGTCTGTCTGTCGGACGGTTTGCCTGTCTGTCTGTCAGTTGGTATCTGTCAGTCTGTCTGTCCATGTCGGTATATGTTTGTCTGTCGGTCGGTCTATCTGTCTGTCTGTTGGTCGGTATGTCTATCTGTCTGTCTGTTGGACGGTATCTCTATTTGTCTTTCTGTTGGTCGGTATGTCTATCTGTCTGTTGAAAGGTATCTCTATCTGCCTTTCTGTTGGTTGGTATGTCTATCTGTCTTGTCTGTCTATTAGATAAACTGATGTGAACCACTACCGGCACACTAGATAGAGCTTGGAAAAGGG